AAGCTGGCAGTCAGACATCCCTCTGGCAGCCCGGGAGCCCTCGGGGGATGTCCACTTGCCAGCGGGGAGCAGGCCCAAGCTGCAGTCAGACATCCTTAGTGCTTCTGAGGAGGCAGGAGAGGCTCCCGCCACCACCACTGTGCTGGCAGCCATCAGCCTGGCTTGTGGCTGAACAGAGCTCCCCCTGTGGGAGTGCACTGACCACCAGGGGACAGCTCCTGCATTGAGCATCTCCCCTCTGGTGGTCAGTGTGTGTCATAGTGACCAGCCATTCCCAATCATTCTGCTGTTAGGGTCAATTTGCACATTACCCTTTTATTATATAGGATAGAGGCCTGGTGCATGGGTGGGGGCTGGCTGGTTTGCCCTGAAGAGTGTCCTGGATCAGGGTAGGGGTCCCCACTAGGGTGCCTGGCCAGTCTGGGTGAGGGGCTGAGGGCCTTTTTCAGCCTGGCCAAACCCCTCCAGCGATGGAAGCTCCCAGCCTCTCCTTTTTTCTTTTTTTTTTATTCTGGGATTTATTTTCCTTCTACAATTGAAACTTTGTAGCCTTGAGAGGAGCTCAGAGCCGGCCAGGGCAGGCGGGAGGGAAGCTTTGCTTCCTCCATCGCCAGGGGCAACCCACGCCTCCTGCTCGCTCCAGCTCTGTGGCCATGGCCGGCTGAGAGCAGGTATCTGGGGTTTATTTATCTTCTATAATTGAAACTTTGTTGCTTTGAGTGGAGTTCAGAGCTGGGCTGCAGCAGGCGGGAAGCTTGGCTTCCTCCATCATTGGGGCAACCAAGCCTCCTGCTTGCTCCAGCTCTGTGGCTGCCGGCCGCCATCTTGGTTGGGTTAATTTGCATATAGTTGCTCTGATTGGCTGGTGGGTATGGCTTAAGGCATAGCGAAGGTACGGTCAATTTGCATGTTTGTCTTTTATTAGTGTAGATTTGTAATGCCTAAGGGAGTAAGTTCAAACTCTTTGCCCTATGTTAAATGTACATAGGTAATTTATTCATATTGGAGTTTAATATGAATAAATTATCTATGTACATTTAAAAATAACTGACATTTGTCAGTATTATTTTAACTCTAAATTGCAGAACTGCTCCATTTTATAGTGTAATATTTAATTTTTCATGGAATTTGTAATAGTTAATGTTATTTCATATAAAATTGACTTTTAAAAAATAAGTTTGTAATATGTCCTTATCTTCTTGTTAGAATTATCAGAACACTGGTCCCTATCCCAATTGCTCATCAGAGTCTCAAGGCAAAGTTTCTCTAACTTTATTATGTTATGAATCAAATAGGGACCTTATTAAAATTCAGATTCTGATTGAATAGGTCTGGGTGGGACTTCACACTCTAACTTTCTAACAATTGCCCAGATGGAGTTTGTGTGCCTGCTTCAAAGATTACATTTTGGAAGGTCACCTTTAAGCAATATGCAGCACAGATTTAATGCTGGGCATGGTATAGTCACAATCATATGCAACTTTAATCACGGGCATTGATGGAATATATCTTTCAATAGTCTCACCAATTCTATGAAGTGGGTACATATTAAAATACCTGTTTGTCCATGAGAAAATTGAAGTTTAAAAAAGATTAGAAGTAGTTCAAGGTCATGAAACTGGTAGTTGTCCCAACCAGGATACAATCACCAGGGTTCCCATCCTAAAAGCTCACCTCTAACCACACCAGCACAGAACTTTTCTTTTAGAAACATTTAGAGGAATAAATGCACTTTAGGAAAGCTACACCTAGCTATACTACTCAAACCGGTCTGCTTTTGGTTTGATGGCTTTATTTTATTTATTCTTGTTTTAACTCAATTAAATTTCTGGAGAACAAAAAATGTAACTGGATGTGGCTTACCTCTGTCATCTGTCCTGTGATTATTACTTTCCTTCATATGGATATGGATATGGATATGGATATGCTGGTGGATACTGCCCATATGGGTAATACCCTCCCTGAAAAGATAAAATTGCAGAGAATTGAGACAATGACTGTAAATATTTCACAATAATTTCCATTAGAAACTTAATTTGTTAAAGTTGGTAGGAACACATAGATCACCTAGGTGTTTGATTTTTCAAAATTTTATATAGTTTTACACTTTTTTTATAAGAAAAATGTTTAAGAGAAAAATAGAACAACATTTACAGTTAAACTGTTTGTTGACAATTTTATTGTTTTATAATACACGTGGAGCCAACCACTCCAGAAATTTAAATATTCCTTAAAGTATTACTTCCAAATTCCTGCTTTTTCCATCCTTGAGTTTTCCAGAGAGAAGGAATTTGCTGTTTTCAGGTTAGGTGGAATTGCTATGTCTCATTCTTGACTTATAATGACCTTACTGTTTCTTCAAACTCCTACTTTCTCTAATTTCATTCCTGCTAAATTCAATATTTTTTATCTCTCCTTTATCTTTTAATTTGGTGCCATGTTAAAATTAATCTATTTAATATATTCATAAGAATTTCTGAGACATATTTATATGACATGACAATAATTTGAGATATTAAGAGTATTTCATTAAAAAATCCTGAATAAATGACCTTTTTTATCTTATTTAACAGATCCATTTAACTTAACTTAATGACTTCATCATCTTCCACAAGAATCAAAAGGTGAAAACTTACCACATCACCTGTGCATTAGCAGCCTCTATGCTCCATTGTAGATATATTATATTTAATGTATTTTAACCCCTAGAGTGCCAGGGAGTGCAATCGCGCTCCTCCTGTTTTTTGCCAAAAGTGCTGGGAGCGCTATCGCGCTCCTCCTGCAGTGTCACTATTAGATGCTAGTAGTTCACTCTTTATTGGCAGATGGCACCTAAGTGCAGATTACTTATGATGCCAAATGTTTGTAGTTCTAAAATTGACCACTGGCATTTATCTGCCTAATTTTTTACAGGTACTACGATTTTATGAGTTTACTCAGATTTTGTAGCCCTAAAGCTTCGAAATGGCGTCCAGTTCTAAGTCTGCTTTTATTAGTGATGATGATATTGCTAAATATGTCAATTCTTGCTGTAAAGATGACGATTTTGTGAAAGATATTGGAGAAGGGTGTCCCTCTATTTTAACATTATATGTTTTGTTCAAAATTTTTTTCTACTAGTATTTTATAATATAATCAGCAAACAATATATGTCAAAGATGAAAACAAATGTATTAAAGGTTTCCTTAAGTTTTTGAATATGTAACTTCATTTACTTGCAATTCATAATTTTTTTTCCTAAACTGCTGTAAAATCATCAAAAATGCCTTGGCAATTTTGGCATAGTTCCTAGGATATTGGTTGGCACTCAAAGGGTTAATATTCAGCTATTCTTTAGGCCAAGGCAATTACTTACCAAACAATGATGCTTACATTCTGCAACAACACTTGGCTTCTTCAGGGTAGCATTATATGTTCTATCTAAATGCTACCAGTACATAAGCTTTGGTCCTTTAGCAGTATATCATAAATAAATAAACTCAATGTCCACATCAGGCATTCATTATATAGATATGTTTCAGAGATAAGGGTTGATTCTTCTAATAGAATAAATACTCAGACAAGGGAATGTGTGTTACTATACCACATTATCTGGGCAATACTTACATGGTGTTTCTTTTTATAATAACGATGTTTCTGTTAAAATAAAGAACAAGTTAAAATTGTTATCCATGTTTAATTACTAAGTTTCTCAGTACATGAATGTGTCTTACCTCATGAGATGAAGAATCGGCACTCTTGAAAAAAGAAAAGAAAAGAATGAACATCTCAATTGTATAATTCTAGATTGAATGTCAAATGCTCTTGGCTTCCACAGTTATGATTAAACCAAATGGAGGCAAAGCCTTAGGTAACTGATCACAAAGTTGGCTATTTCATGTTAGTGACAGAATGAAGACTAGGCTTAGGCTATAATTAATTCATTACATTTCAATATCAACTCACTCAGGACCAAATTTCTTTTGTGTGATAAGGAAGAAAATCTATCACTGTGACCAGGAGAGTGAAAATGAAAAGTTAAAATGTGGGTTAACACAAGACCATGTAGGTTTGAAGTTGTTGAAAAACTATGTACATTTACATATTGATTGTACAGGTACAGACTGATGATATGATTATGGTTTTCTCTGTTCTTCTTGGATTTTTATTTATTTATTTTTGCACTTCCACTTCTGTGTGGGCTTAGTGTCTCATGTGTACTCCAGATTTATTCTAAGTCCTTAATGTACTGATATAGGCTAATTTAAGGAAAATGTCCATACAAAACCATGTTCGGGCAATGCAACTTTGGTCCACAACACAAGAAACAAGAGACCATCTTTGAATAATTCCTGAGAACATATTCTTCAAAATTTTCTGATATACTTACAACCAAGGCAACCATGAGAGCCATGATAAAGGCGAAGACAAAGATCCTCATATTTGGCTGAGTCCTGTGAAAGCATACATGACAGATCATTCCTGCACTTGCAAATCACTTATTGATCAAAGTAGGAGCCACAGCTTTGGGAGACAGATTGGATTTACAAAGAGAATTAAAACACATCGCCTGACATCATGGAATTTAGAGACTAGTAGAGAACATTGATATGTAAAGATAAGTGCTGTGGCATAGAAATAATATCCTATATGATAAAAGGTTACTATGCAAATTGACCTAATTGCAGAATGACCAGTCGCTATGATGTGCACTGACCACCAGAGGGCAGACGCTCAACGTAGGAGCTGCCCCCCAGGTGGTCAGTCTGCTCCCGCAGGGGGAGCGCCACTCAGCCAGAAGCTGGGCTCATGTATGGCTAGCGCAGTAGCGGTGGTGGGAGCCTCTCTCGCCTCCACGGCAGCACTAAGGATGTCTGACTGATGGCTTAGGCCTGCTCCCCACTGGCAAGTGGACATCCCCCGAGGGCTCGCGGACTGCCAGAGGGATGTCTGACTGCCAGGTTAGGCCCAATCCCCTTGGGAGCAGGCCTAAGCCAGCAGCTGGTCATCCCCCGAGGGGTCCCAGACTGTGAGAGGGCACAGGCCGGGCTGAGGGACCCCCCGAGTGCACAAATTTTTGTGCACCGGGCCTCTAGTATAGTATAATAAACTAGAGGCCCCATGCATGAAATTCATGCAAGAGTAGGCCTTCCTTCTCCCGGCTGCTGGCACCAGCTTCCCTCTGACACCCGGGACCCGGGCTTCCCTCAAAGCCCAGGCTTCATCCGGAAGGTCATCTAGAAGGATGTCTGGGCTAATTAGCATATTATGCTATTATTATTATAGATAACAGTTAAATCTGTGTTTATAGAACCTACCATAGACTACAACATAATTACATTTAAAGTAATATTTAATCAAATTATACCCTCTGACACCCGGGACCCGGGCTTCCCTCAAAGCCCAGGCTTCATCCGGAAGGTCATCTAGAAGGATGTCTGGGCTAATTAGCATATTATGCTTTTATTATTATAGATAACAGTTAAATCTGTGTTTATAGAACCTACCATAGACTACAACATAATTACATTTAAAGTAATATTTAATTGTCAAATTATATTTTAAGTAGTTATGTCATCAGTAAGAGTACACATTTGAGGGCCAAGTAATACTTGGCAGTATCCTCAAGTATGTCTGGAATCCTTTTTTTACTTTGATAATTATAGGTATTTTTTGTTTTTTTTTCTGTTAGTGTTTTGGCATTTATAGAAGTTATGATAGCTTCAAAAGTTGCTGCTAGAAAAAAACAAAACAAAAAAGGGACCCCAAATAAGGAGGAAATAATACTTTGTTCTCTGTTCTAGTAAAACACACACACACAAAAGGTCCCCAAAGCATCTTATTTTAGGAGGGCCAGGGCCAGTGTGATGGTTAATTTTATGTGTCATCTTGGCTAGGCAATGGTACCCAGATATTTGGTCAAACATTATTCTAGGTGTTTCTGCAAAGGTATTTTTAGATGAGATTACCAATTAAAACAGTAGATTTTTGAATAAAACAGATTACTGTCCAGTCTCATGCAATCAGTTTCAAAGCCTTAAGAGAAGAAAGACTGAGGTCCTTCAAGGAAGAGGGAATTTTGCCTTCAGACTTCCTCCAGACTCAGGTTGCAGCATCAACTCTTCTTGAGTCTCCAGACTGCCAGGCTGCCACATAGATTTGGTTTTGCCAGACTCCACAATTGATTCTTTTTCTCTGGAGAACCCTAATTACTACAATCACTTTGAATGACTGCTATGATAGCCAATGAAAATAGCAGTTACTTGGGTTGGTGGGTGTTCAGCGTTTTATAGGAACTGAGAATTCAGGTTCTCAAGAGCAGAAGAATACGTGGAGAGAGACTTTTACGGACTTTTTAGGATGGCTTCCCTTTAAGGAGTTTGTGGATTTATCAGAAAAATATCCCTGCAGGTTGGTTGTGCCATCATTTTGTCTTATCTGTGATTCTGGATAGTAAACCCTTACACAAGACAGATGGTTGTTGAGTGTAAATTCATCTTTGATCCTCTTTCCACGGCATCAATAAATTGTACTGACATTCACACACATCATTTACTGAAAGGATAGAAAATGATGAAGAAACCTATAGCCATTGGTGTGTCTTTAAATCTAAAAATGCCCTTTATTAAAAGTGATTAACATAAATGAACAATAAGAAGTCAGCAAAGTTAATCATACTATCAGAATAAAAAATTTCACAAAAGAAATATCTTAAAAATAAGCGTGTGACTCTCCAGTATTTTTACTGTCTTCTGGGCACTTCCTCTATCATAATCCTGTAGAGACAACAGTGAGTCACCCTTGAATCTTCATCGTTTGTCTCAGAAACCTCCTGGCATCTTGTCCCGAGGCTGCTAGCTTTCTGAATTATCTGTAGCTAAAATGGGGATTGCCTGTTCAAATACATTATTTTTCTTTTTAGCATGCTTGCTCAGGTTTAACGTTTCTTGACT